AAGGAAATGTGAAACTTGATCATAAAAAAAAATTAGGTTCTCGGACATTCTTCTAAGGGCAAAACAATCAGAAAAGTTATTGGCACTCTTTGGTCTAAAAAACATCCTATAATATAGAGAAAAGATTTTCTTTTATATTATGAATGATAGGAGGAGAATTTTAATTATCTTCCCAAATTAAAATGAGTATATCTTTGATCTAACAATTTCCTTTTATGAATGTGTTCACAGTATAGTCATACTTGCACAGATACATGAGGAAGGAACTTTAATGAGCATAAAAACATTCACTGCGACATTGTTAGTTGCAGAAAACTGGAAACAACCTAAATGCTCACCAAAAAGATTCTCAGTTGTGCAAATTATGGGTTATCTGATTAATGATGCCGTATGTAGAAATTTGAAAAATTTATTTAGTGACATGAAAAGTATGATCTCCATGAATGATAAGACTCAAGAAATTATTAAAAATGAATACTTCTGGAAAGGAAATGAGTATTTTTTACTTTGCTCAACTCCATACTGTTTAACATCTGAAAAGCTTTAAAACAAAACAAAACAACAGTAAGCAGGGAAATAATAGCAATTGCCCTTCGTGCTCAACTAGTGCCTGGCAGTGCATGGGACATTGTGGGTGCTTAGTAAGTAGGCTTTGAGGGAATGAATAAGGATGGCTAGCCCTAGGTCCACTTTAGCAAAGTGAGCTACAAAAAAAAGCTCAGATTTTCTAATCCTAAAATTCAGTCAGTGGGTTAATGGAGAAGAGTTTAAGATGCCCATGTTGACAAGGCTGATCTGTTAAAGAGACTGGCTACACCAAAGTCAATGCACCAAAAAATAATTTGGGAGTTGTATTTGCAAAGAGGCTGTAGAATAAGCACTGGACTACCAATCACAAGGTTGGCAGTTCAAACCAATCAGCTGCTCCTCAGAAACCCTATACAGGGTCCCTATGAGTTAAATGAGACTCAGACTCAATGATACTTAACAACAGCAATTTGCAATGGTAAAGGATCTTAATGAGTCCACTGTATGTTTCTTTGAGCTCCTTTTAAACCTGTTGGTTTCAAAGTCATAGAATCAGGCAGAGGAGAGAATCTCAAGAGTGTTCAAATAGTCCAGCCATTTGCGACTTGTAACTAGTAAGGTGTTCAGGTTGATTGAACACATCCTGGGACAGTGCTTTCTCTTGGTGCATTCTTTTCTGATGAGCTCTAAGTATATTATTAGACTAAAATGGAACTTGTCTCTTTACAACTTGACCCACAGATCCCAGCTCTGTCCCAGAGCCATTTGCAACAAACCTAAGCAGAACTGTACAGTGACTTAGAGCACCGGCTCTGGAGTCATAGAAACAGGCCTTTGAACCTCACGTTTATATCCAGGTGTTGTGTGACGCTGCGGCTGAGTATCACCATAGAACAAACCCAAGTTTCTTTTTCTTAAGATGAGGATAATTATAGTTTCTACCTCACAGGTTTACTTTCTGAAAGTGAGGGAATAGTATATGCAAACTGGCCATCACATTACCATTTTTATAGACTTTTTCCATTAGTTGTTTGACGGGCACGGGGAAAAGTAGAACAAAACGGCAATTCTAAAAGATGCAGCATCCCTGTCAGTGAACTGCGTACCTAAGGACCTTGATCGCCAGTGATTTTAGCATCTTCTCTATGTTGTTGTTGTTTTTTTTTCTACTATAAACAAATGAAAAAAACACTCTTAATAGGGGGAGGGAAATTTCTTACCACTAATTTTGCAACAATAAGTAGGTGGTACTTTCACAATTTCAGATACTAACTTACAGAGTAAACTTTAGGGGTTTGAGAATTCCACTCACCTCTTGGGGAACACAAGGAAACAGCTCCCTCAGGGATTGTCTCAAAACTTGTCTCCCTGAAGCTTCCTAATATTCAAATCACCGTCAGGCAAAACAGAAGCCTTCTCCAGCCATTCTGAACCTTTTCTTAGGGCTGATGACTACCTATCAGTTTGGATTAGACCTTTAAAAAAATATTCAAAATAGAAATTGTAAATTCCAACTGCACACATCAGGAATGTATGTAAATATGTATGGGTGAGCACGATGCATACATGTATTTACACATCTGTGTTCTGTCACAGGAAACTCAGTGGACCAGGGAAGCGGCCTAGCCTCTACCTCCCCGTGTGAGTCTGCAGTCCTTTCCCTCTTAGGGTAAGGTCTCCAATGACTCATCTATAAAATGGAGTCCTGCTGTAGCACTGTGGCATAAAGCACTGGACTGCAAGGTTGGTTAGACCCACAAGTTGGTGGTTCAAACTCACCAGCCACTCCTTGGAAACTACGGTGGCTATGAGTTAGAACCGACTCAATGGCACATAACAACAAGCTGATTCTAGCTGATATTTCTTACATGATTTCTAAGGAGCTCTAGGTTTACACAGCAGAGCTGGGGGCTACTTTATTTGGGTTCCCGGACTCCATCTTGTTTCACAGAGCAGCAATATAGCCATATGTAAACCAATCTTTTAGCTAGATGGATAGAGAACTTCCACATAAAAATTCATTTGAAACATGAAATTTTCAATAAAGACTATCTGAAGATCACCAAATAAGATGAGTCTCAAGGTTCTTCCTCAAACCCCTGTATCTCTTTTTTGAAATCTTTTTTATTGAGAATTGTGTGAAAGTTTACAGAGCAAATCAGTTTTCCATTCAACAACTCATACATATTTTGCAATCCCTACAAGGTAACATAACTCATCCCACTGCCACCCCTTTGGTTCTGATTTCTGTTCCTTCTTTTTCCTAACCTTTCCTGCCTTCTGAGCTTTGTCCTTGGGCAAATGCTGCCCTTTTGATCTCAAAGGATTACTTGTTCTAAGGAGCGCTACCTTCCTAGTGGCATTGTTCAGCATTGTTTGGCTGAAAATTGAGCCCTAGGAGTGAGTACATTTTCAGGTTCAAAGAGTGAGTAAGGGTCATCTTAGGGGAGATGGTGGTGTACTACCAATTTATACCCAACTAGTAAGCATTGCCTTTCTTTTTGTAAATGATTTTTCTCCCACTTTGTCCAGGATCTCCTGTTGTGATCTCTTCCAGAGAGGTTGGCAGTGGAAGCCGGACACCATCTAGTTCTTCTGGTTTTAGGGTTGTGGAGGCTGAGTAGAACTTCTGTATTTTAAAGACAGAGGGCAGACAGGAAGGGAAAGAGCCATGGTCACAAACAGTACCTCCTCTGTGCTACTGGACATGGTTTGGGGTTCGTCCTCAGATTCCCCATAAGTATATGAGAGGGCTTCAAAATATTTGTAGAAAAATGGCATGAAAAGATAATGGAATTTTCACAGGAACTTTTTGATGCCTCCTTCTGTTAGTAGCAATATAATAATGACATTGTTTTTTAAAAAGCCCTGGTTTTTTTTACTATTACCCAGTAGTGTCCAATGCTCAGGACCATTAAATTGACTTCCTCCCTGCCTCATGTCCTATCCTCAGGGTTAAATTTCCAAGGAATATTCTTTAGAATTCCATGCCAATGTGTCATTCGTTCTAGAAACATCTCAGTAGTTGTCCTTACACTAAACAGTCTTAAGAGCAGAGCAGAGAAGTTTAGGAATGTTTCTATTGAGATTAGAAGAGTTTTCAATGTCCCTCTTCTCTACAGCTTCCCCCAGACAAGCCTTGTGGCAATGACAACCCAAGCAGGGCCAATCCCTGACGGGAGCTGGTGCCTTTACTATAGAGAAAGGTGAGTAACTGAAAGAAGCCTGTTGAAATAGCATCATGAACCCATATCCCTACCTAGTGAGTGTTTTGGGGTAGAGAGGAGGGAACAAATGAAGGGGAAAGATTTCTAGGTGTACGACTAGCAGGGTTATGAAGCAGACGTGTTTGATAGAAGAGGTGCCTTCTGCATCTCTGTGGTCACTGGGGTGCACAGCTGTGAAGTCAGCTGCATCAACAGAACCATGGTGCCCTGCGTGTTAGCCTTGACCTCCCTCTGCAGAGACAGCAGGGTGTGGTGGACAGGGGACTGGACTTGGAATCAGAAGGTTGAGGGGGAGTCTCAGCCTTGGACTTCATGGCTTTGAATTGCTATTTCCCTAACTGAAAAACAAGAATAAAAATATCCACGGGATCTGTCTCACAGGAGTGGTGTATGGTTTCAACAAATCAGGTTCTGAAAAACATTTGGTAAGTTAGAAAGCCCCACAAGATATAAGCAGTATATAGCCTATGAAACAGTTGTCGAGCTGTAATCCTGAAAAAAACAACCTAAAAGGATACGAATATAAAAGGCTAGTGAATTATCAAGTAAAATGAAGTATTTCACTATGTTCATATAATTTTTCAATGTAAGTATAAAAACCATATCTGATGCCCTTATGTAAAGCAACAACATATAAAATTACAAACATCTAATTTTACACGGAGCCCTGGTGTGGTGCTGTAGGATAAACACTGGACTGCTAGTTTCAAGGTTAGTGGTTCAAACCCACCGGCCACTCTTCAGAAACCCTATGTTGTTGTTTGTTGTTGGGTCAGTTCTGACTCATAATGACTCTATACAGGGTTTCTAAGGAGCAGCAGGTGGGTTTGAACTGCCACCTTGCGGTTCAAATCATCCTTGTGATCTAGAGCTTATCCTTCAGCGCCACACCAGGACTCCTACAAGATGGCTATGAGTCAGAATCGACTTGATTGCATTTAATAATAAAAACAATTATATAAATCAAAATTCCACATATTATAAAATCTAATTATACATGATTTCCAAAAAAGTATGACTAGATTATTCCTGAAGGACTGCTCTGGAGGCAACTCTATATCAAAGAGTTTTACAAAAATAGACTAATTCCAGAACCTCTATTTCATAACTTCAACAAGCAATGTTTGCTTTATTCCTATTTTTGAAGGTGGCATCTCAGAGTCGGGGGTTATGTGGATCCGGAGAAGTAATTGATGGTGTTGGAGATGCCAGAAGACCGGGTAGCTCAATTCCTGTAGACAATCATCAGCTCTTCTGATTGGGGAGTTCTCTGAGGCAATCTTCATCATTCTCCTCTGAGCAAGACAGGTGCAGGGCACTTGTCACAGGATGGATCCAAGATGTGGTCTGTGTTACATGACTTGAGAAAAACAAGGAATGAAATTAGAACCTGTGAGGTTGTCCATCTGCCCATCTGTGCCAATCCTGATCTTTGTGCCATGACTCCCCTTCTACCACAGTCCTTTATAATGAGACAGCAGTCGGGACTGGATCCGGTAGAGTTTTAAAAGCCATTGGTGCTATAGGATAAGCACTGGACCACAAGGTCAGGTTGAACCACAAAGTGGTGGTTCAAACCCACTAACCACTCTTTAGAAACCCTATAGAGGATCCCTATGAGTTTGAATAGACTTTATGGCACTTAACAACAATGACAATGTTTCCAGGTTCCATGAAAACCATTTATTTCTTCTTTGGTAAAGAGGAAGAGTGTTTTATCTTTGACTCCTCAGTTTTCCTGACCCGACAGGCAGTTAGTTGGTCAGCAAGTCCTACGACTATCTTACTGTATCATCTCTGGACTTGGTTCCATTGCTGTGACTTGGATTACTTGTCTTTCTTCTGGATTCTAATTCATTCTTCACTCAGCCAAGACACATTTCTAAATGACATGTACTGTCACTCCCCTACCAAAAATTCAGTGCCAACTTTCTGGACTAAATAGACAACTATACTGTAGGAAATGCTATGTTTGTTTGTTTTTTTACCTGCTGCAACAACACTTTCTCCTTTGCTATAACCTTTTTCTTTTCCATCTTGCTCATCTCGCTAACTCATACCAATTTTTTAAAAAACAAACTTCCCTCAAGATTCCTCCAGTCTGAGCCCCCAGACTTATCTTGTGGTATACCACACTACACAGACTCCTGGTGTGGCGCTATAGGATCAGCACTGGACTGTGAACCACAAGGTTAGCGGTTCAAACCCACTAACTGCTCCTGGGAAACCCTATACAAGGTCATTATGAGTCAGAACTGACTCAAGAGCACCCCACAACATACTACACTACACTATAATTTACTATGCTATAAATTATATTACTATAAACATAATAAAGATTCTTACCGTGAGGAGCTACTTATAGGCAGGAACTATGATTATCCCTAAATTTTTGTGCCTCCCAAATTAAATGTAGAAAAGCTAAAATGACTAGAAGAAATGATGATGTATAAGAGCTGAACAAACAGAAAATGTCAAAGGGCAGCTCAAGAAGACAAAGTAGAGTTTATATGACCTTGAACATGTAGTTGTTGTTAAGTGCCACCGAGTTGGTTCCGACTCATAGCAATCCTGTACAGGGTTTCTGAGGAGTGGATGGTGAGTTTGAACCACTGACCTTGTGGTTCAAACAGACCTTGAGGTCAGTGCTTACCCTGTGACACCACACCAGGACTTTGAGCATAACCCACCTGAAGATAGAGATAATCTCAGTAATCAGACAGTATCTTTGGACAATATCATTAATCACATGCAAGTAAAATTTTGCTAAAGATAATTTAAATGGCTGCAATAGTACATTGACAGGGAAAAACTAAAGGTTCTAACTGGATTCAAACAAGGCTGTGGGATGAGGGATATCATTGCTGACATCAGATGCATCTTGGCTGAAAGCAGAGAATACAAGAAAGATGTTTACCTGTGTGGATCATGACAAGCTATGATCAGGTATTCCAGAACACATAATTGTACTCATGAGGAACTTATATATAGACCAAGAGGCAGTTGTTCAAACAGAACAAGAGGACACTCAATGCTTTAAAATCGTGAAAGGAATGCGTTCTTTCACCATACTTATTCAATATGTACGAAGAGCAAATAGTCCGAAAAGTTGGATTATATGAAGAAGAATATAGCATCAGGACTGAAGGAAGACCCATTAACAACCTGTGATACACAGATAAAACAACCTTACTTGTTGAATGCGAAGAAGACTTGAAATACTTATCAATGAAGGCCAAAGACCACAGGCTTCAGTATGGGTTGCACCTCAATGTTAAGAAAACAAAAATCCTCATAAATGGACCAATAAGATCATGATAAATGGAGAAAAGATTGAACTTATCAAAGACTTAATTTTGCTTGGATTTTCTATCAACATTCATGGAAGCAGCAGTCAAGAAATCAAACAATGTACTGCAATAGGCAAATCTGCTGTACAAGACCTATTTAAAGTGTTCAAGAGCAAAGGTGTCAATTTGAAGGCTAAGGTGCGCCTAACCTAAGCCATGGTATTTTCAATAACCTCATGTGTATGTGAAAGTTGGACAATGAATAAAGAAGACCATAGACAATTGATGCCAATCTGTGTTGGAAGAAGTGCAGCCAGAATGCTCTTAGAAACTAGGATGGTGAGACTTTTTCTCTCATACTTTGGGCATATTATCAGGAGGGACCAGTCCTTGGAGAAGGACATTATGCTTGGTAAAGTAGAGGGTTAGAGAAAATAAGGAAGGCACCCCCCTCCCCCACCAAGGAGATGTACTGGCACAGTGACAGCAGCAATGGGCTCAAATGTAACCATGATTGTGAGGATGGCACAGAACCGGGCAGTGTTTCCTTCTGTTGTGCACCGGGTCGCTGTAAGTCAGAACTGACTCAATGGCACCTAACAACAACAGGAAGCAACAATGAAGATGGAAGAAATACAGAGTCACTGCACCGGAATGAATTGGTTCAACCCTTTCAAGAAGTACCACATTATCAAAAACTGACTGAAAGAAGAAATCCAAGTTGTACTGAGACATTGGCAAAAAACAAGGTTCCAAAAATGGACAGAATACAAATGAAAAGATTTCAAAAAACAGATGCAACACCGAAGGCATTCACTTGTCCATGATAAAAAAATTTGGGAAATAGTTACCTGGAAGAGGTCTATATTTGTGCCTATTACACAAAATGTGACCCACCACAATTCAGAAACCAGTGAAAAATATGTTTAATATCTCATCTAAGTAAAATTTTGCTGAAGATGATTTCAAAATGGTTGCAGAAAGCTGCCAGAAATTCAAGCTGGATTCATAAAAGGATGTGAAATAAGGGATAACATTGCTGATGTCAAAGGGATCCTGGCCCAAAGCAGAAAATACCAGAAAGATGTTTACTTGTGCCTTACTGACTATGCAAAGGCATTTGACTGTGTGGCTCATAACAAACTATGGATAACACTGAAAGCAATGGGATTCCAGAACATGTCCTTGTGCTTGTGAGGAACCTGCACAGAGACCAGGAAGGACGCAGTTGTTCAAACAGGACAATGTGATACTGAATGGTGTGTTCAACGATTGTATTCTTTCACCATACTTATTCAATCTAGATGATGAACACTAATGTATAAAGCTGGATTGTATGAAGAAGAGCATGGCATCAGGATTAGAGGAAGACTCATTAACAACCTGCTAGATGCAGTCCTGGTGTGGTGCCATGGGTTAATGCACCAGACTGTAAAGTCGTTTGAACTGCAAGGTTGGTGGTTCAAGCTCACCAGCGGCTCCTTGGAAACCCTATACAGGGTCACTAAGGGTCGGAAGCAACTCAATGGCACTAACCAACAACAAGATGCAGATGACACAACCTTGCTTGCTGGAAGCAAAGAGGACTTGAAATGCTTACTGACAAAAATTGTACCTTAATGTAAAGAAAAGAAAAATCCTCACAATCGGACCTATAAGTAACATCATGCTAAATGGAGGAAAAGACTGAAGTTCTCAAAGACATCATTTTGCTTGAATTCACAATCAACACTCAAGGAGGCAGCAGTAAAGAAAACAAACCCAAATTCCATTGGGTAAATCTAATGCAACAGACCTCTTTAAAGTGTTAAAGAGCAAAGAAAAAAGTGTTAAAGAGCAAAAGTATCATTTTGAGGACTAAGGTGTGTCTGACCTAAGTCATGGTATTTTCAACCGTATCACATGCCTGTGGAAACTAAATGACAAATAAGGAAGACTGTAGAAAAATTGATGCATTTGACTTATGGTGTTGGCAAAGGATATTGAAAGTACCATGAATTGCCAAAAGAAAAACAAGTGGTTCTTGGAAGAAGTATAACCAGAATGTTCCTTAGAAATGAGCATGGTGGGACATCGTACTTTGGACATGTTGTCAGGAAGGTCTAGTCCTTGGAAAAGGACATCATGGTGGGTAAGTGAAGACCCTCAATGAGATGGACTAACACAGTGGCAGCAGTAATGGGCTCAAACAGAACAGCAACCGTGAGGATGGCCCAGGACTGAGCAGTGATTTGTTCTGTGATGCACAGTGACTGTTGAGTTAGAACTGACACAATGGCACATAACGACAACCACAACCACATGTGAAGAATCCAATTCTCTGGTGAAATAAGTTTGAGATGCACTAGGTTAAATATAGTTAAATTGGTTTCTTTAGTGCAGGATTTTTCAGCGCCTTGAACACACTAATGTGTTTTATGACTCTCCCAGAATATGCAATACACTCTTGATGTGCTTCACCTGTACTTGAAAAAACATGCTTCATGGGGAGCGTGTTTTCATGGAACACAATTTGGAATATATCAGTAAAATATACTCACTCTATCGGCTACTGATATCAATAACTGAAAATGTTACACTTAGTAGCTAGCCAGTTCTACTATCATTACCAGATTTGTTTTGTTTTCAATTGAATACTCTAAATCTTCTTCATATTCAAATATGTTCACCTCCTTTGTTTAAATATTAAAAATGGTTCTTTACATGGAAGAAAATTATTGGTCATTTAGTGATGGGGTAAAGCGATTCAAATGTTGTTAAAGAATCAAGGCAAGGCCCAGACTTCCTCATAGTTTCAACACTTCAGTGTGTTTAAATAGTACAAAGAATCTTTATTCTCTTGACAGTAATTCACATTACTATTATCTCTTCAAAACAGTTTTAATGGAATTTCTTATGGAGGTTAAACTTACTAAAGTGTTTGAGTCTTCACAGGTTAACTTCATTTCAAGGCCTTTATAAAGCTGGAAAGTTGCCTAAGCTGAAAGTGGTTTTAAAGAAATACTAATGAGTGGAGCATAAGAGAGCTGGGAAGCCACTGTTAGGTGAAATGAGGACACACTGTCCGGAA